CACAGTCTTACAGGCTAGAAGTCTGAGATCAAGGTGCCAGCAGGGTTGGTTTCTTCTGAGGCCTCTCTCCCTGGCTTGTAAATAAATGTCCTCTCCCTGTAATCTTTACACTGTCTATTACCTGTGCATGTCACTGTTTCAATCCCCTCCTCTTGTAAGGACACCAGTAATATCAGTAAAGGGCCCATTCCATTGACCTAATTTAACTTTAATCATTTCTTTAAAGGCATTATCTCCAAATATAGTCACATTCTTACATACTGGACATTAGAAGATCAACATACTAATGTTGGAGGACACAACTATACCCATACATAACACCAGCTGCCAAAAGTAGCTGGGGTGCTGAGTCTCTACTGGGTTTCCCTGGGCAGAAACGCATTGAGGCATTTTAATTGCTGGGGTGAATATGTACTCGCTCATGGGATGGGGGGAGGGAGGGGGGAAAAGACATAAGGATGTCTCACATGGATTTCTCCCAACTCCACCTATGTCTTCCCACTTATGACTGTAGCATCCTTACTACATCTCTGTGATAAGTCTTAACTAAGAATACAATAATATGCTGAGTCCCATGGGTCCTTCTAGCGAGTCTCTGAAAGTAGGGATTGTTTTATTTTCTTTCCTGATTAGGAAAAATTATCAACCTCTCTCTCTCATATGTTTTCTTCACAGAAGTTGTAGATTTTCATACAATATATTTAATAGTAATAATTACTACAAGTAATATATTGGTCAGAAGGATAAGATTTGGAGCTATGCTACCTGGGTTTGAAAACTGGTTCTGTTACTTTCTGTCAGTAACCTTAGGCAAATTCTGGGCCTTCAGTGTCCTAATATGTAAAATGAAACTAATGAAAGTACTGACCTCACAGAGTTATCTAGGAAGGCAAGTTGATACATGTAAATTGGATAAACCAAGTATGGTTCAATAAATGTAGCCATTAAAAGCATTGGCTTTTGTCACTACTACCATTATCTATTGAATAGTAATTTCGTGTCAGGTAGTATGTTAAAATTCTTCACTAATATTAGACTTTTTTTTTTTTTTTTTACCAGTTTGCGTTTATTTATAGTAAATTATAAATTAATCATTTTTGTGGTTATACAATCACAAGATGATTTCATTATTTTATCACAGACACTATATGTTCTCATGTTTTACAAGATTTGTTATAAAGTTAATGATTAATACAACTTGCCCATAAACCCAAAACTGGTTTTTGTGGTTATCACTACCACCACCTGCTGGACTATTAACCTTATAAACTTAACATCCTATTTTATGAAAATATATAATTTTCTATAAAGAAAATAAAAAGTAAAAAAGGACAATCAGCTATTAAAGCAATAATATGTGGATTCACACAAAACTTACTTCATCTATTCTAAATATTTTATAATTGAACAATTATTAGACTTTTTACATTTAACAGTCTTACATTAGACTTTGGATTATGACTTTTTCTTTTTAGATTTGCCTTCCAAAATATTTCTGTAGGAATTGTTTTTTTAATGAAGTCTAATCTTCAAAATTAAAACTACACTTAATGTGTCCTCTTCAGCCAATATGGATATTAAATTGTAGTAATTACCACACATCCTGCACCACGTCTGAAGATTCCTTCTCTAGGTCCCACAATACTTTTACAATAGATACTTCACTCAAGGTTTGCTTACTCGCTAGGAAGGAAAAGCTACAAACTCTGAAGCTTCTGAGTTGGTGGTGGTGATAGCAATGGTGCAATTGCCCACATGCACAGGTTCACCTGGGGGGTGGTGGGGAAAGTGGTATACCAACAGTGGGTTATGGGTATGGTCAGCCCCAGGTGCAAGCAATAAAGGGTCATTACCTGCAAAGAATTTAGAAACAATCATAAAAGTCAATCAAAATGGTTCAGCTTTTATTAACCCCATGTGCCAGAAATTTTAAATTATTTTTGTGATAAAAGATTCCTTCCATGCAACATTTGTCCTTCTATGACTGGTTTATTTCACTTATCATAGTATCAAACACATAGATGCAGAGAGTAGAATGATGATTGTCAGGAAAAGAGGGAACAGGGAAGTGGGGAGTTGCATTCAGCCGGTATGAATCTTCAGTTGTACAAGTAAGTTCTAGAGATCTGTTGTACAACATTGTGACTATACCTAAAAATACTGTATTGGTCACTTAAAATTTTATTTAGAGAGTAGATTTCACGCTAAGAGTTCTTACCACTATAAAAAGAAAACTCACCAGGTGGTTTTAGTACACATTGAAGACCCACTTTTCAGAAAGAAAGAGTTAGCTACAGCTGCCATTGTGGTGCTTATGCTGTATTTTCCAGTAAAGTTTTACTTATGGTTATTTCACTTACATCATTCATTACATTTCCTAATGATATATACACTTTTAAAAATGTAGTCATGTACAACACAAATAAATCACAGTCATACACCAATTTCTAAGTATTTTTCCATAATATGAAATAATCACAATATTTCAGACTATGTTCTCTAGTTTTGATATTACCTTAAACACCTAATATCTAATCCAACAGATTTAATTGTACCATTTATCAAGCACACTGACACAGCTAACTAACACAAAGACCCTTTGAACCTTAGTTTTACCGGATTATTTGCTTACACAAAGCATTTTAAATCAATACGTCACGTCGTTCTTACCTTTTTTTTTTTTTTGAGTTGTAGTCTCACTCTGTCGCCCAGACTGGAGTGCAATGGCCGCTCCCGGACACCGCAGCCTTGACCTGCTGGGCTCGGGCCATCCTTCTACCTCAGCCTTCCAAGTAGCTGGAATTACAGGCATGCGCTACCACACCCAGCTGATTTTTTTTTTTTTTTTTTAATTGTAGAGATGAGGTCTCGCTGCCCAGGTGGGTCTCGAACCTGCAGGCTCAGGCAATCCACTCACCTCAGCCTCCCAAAGGTGCGGGATTACAGGCTGAGCCACCGAGCCCGGCTGTTCTTACCTTTATTAGAATGAGGTTTATTTCTTTTCTTTTCTTTTCTTTTTTTTTTTACAAGACATGTAACGTCTAAAGGCTTCTATTGTTGGCAATATTTGTAAACGTATGATGTAGTCTGACCTGTTTAAATGAAAGGCATTAGACTAAGATTAAAATTGTTTCCTGGCACACAAGTAAATAAAAGGGAATGCCAGTGAGGCTCTGGAGAGGGTCCCTGAAGACCACAGTGTAGAATGCAGCTTCCTCTAGTAGGTGGTGTGAGGGCAACAGGATTGATGCAGGTCAACTCTATTAAAGGGCCTGGGCTTTAACAGCAAATGAGAAGGAAGGGAGAGAGGGCAGTGACAATTCACCCACAGGTGCTGTCCCCTGTCATGATCTGGGGGGATTGACTCCTACAGACCAAGACCCTCAAAGCTCCAAATGTCTCAGTGCAGGAAGCTGGGAAAAGCTTTGAATGCTTTAGTGGGGGCAGTGGCTTCCTCTGGCAAGGGCGGGCTCAGGAAGCCTGGACCATGTCTCCCATGTGGCAACCCCTTCTGTGTAGAGTGGAAGTGGCTGTGCAGTCTTGTGGGTTAACTGCTGGCAGACTGTGTGAAGGGGCTGGACGACTAGAAATTGGGAGAAACACTCAGTCTTATCTCAAGAGAGACACATGTCTCTCACAAACTTACCATTTGTTAGTGCTCTGGACACCAAATAAGCAACAGATTAATTGCAGCCTCATTCCCACCTCTTGTCCAGATCAACATAAATAGGTCATAGTACATATTCTGGTTGCATCATAGAGTTACCTTTTTTTCTGACCCTAAAACCTGATAAACTGGAATTTCAGTGACACAGCATCCATGGATACTGCGAATAAAAAAGAGAGAGCACACAGGAAGAATACTGATGTATAGCCACCGTAGAAAAGCTTAATGTAAGTTCAAGGACATCATGCCCATGACCCATACTATTTCAAGGAGGCAAAGGGCTACAGAACAGGGAAGCTTCGGGTACGTGGCAGGTGAGTTCATGGTAGTGTCTCGGTGTTGGTGTTAGCTATGTTCAGGCTGTTGTAAGAACTCTGTTATAAGAACACATAACAAAGGAATACCTAGCCAGGGATTCAAGGAAATATTATTGGAGGAAACGACTTCTAAATTGGTATATGATGGAATCATTAGTTGGGTATCCAAGTGAATACCAGAAAGAAGAAAGATACTCCAGGTTAAGTGACCATGGTAGATAAAGACCCAGGAGTCAGCATGGGACCTGTTTAAGAACCTGGGGGAAGTGGAATATTTCTAGAGCAAATGCTGGCGTTGTGGTAGCTGAAAGAAAGGAGAAGCTATGTTAGGACAAGAGCAGATAAACAAAGGCCACATTGTGGAATGGGTTGAGAAACTTGCAAACTAATATAAACTTGAGACAATGCAAGACACTAAAGGGTTTTAACCTCGAGAGAGTGTTTGTATGTGGGGGCAGGTAGCAAGTCATCAAGTAAGGTGACTACTTGGAACGTGGCTAGAAGAATCCAGGTAAGATGACCTTTACTGGACCATAGTATTTTTAGTGAAATTCAAAAAATTAGTGAGGAATGTGATACTTAGAAACATGAACATGGGGTGATGAATTAGGTGAGGAAGGAGAGGGACAGGGAGACAGTAAAGACCACTCCCGCCTCTCTGGATTGGGCATTTAGGTGTGTGGCAGGACTATCTACTGAGGTGAAGAAAGTCGGAGGTGTTGGATTTAGTAAACAACTCAGAGCATGGTGTTCTCTAAATGACAAAACATCCAGGAATAGGACCTGGGACACTGGAACAAATTTTGTTGAGAACAATTATGTTGGAAATGGAATCTTCAGTTTGGGCAATCACTCAATTGGTTGTAAAGATCTAAGCTGCACAGGGAGAAAGGATTGCTGGATGTTGTCCTGGCACTAGAACTGACACAGCTTGTCCTGCTGGACTTTGAAAGCTCACTGGTACAGCAGGTGAGAGGAGGACTGGCCCATGGTGTTACTCACCAGTGCTGCCTGGCTTAGAGTCTCTGAACTGGGGAGCATGGAAGGGCTGCTATGGGGTGTTGGGGAAGTTTTTCCTCTTGGTTGGAGTGGGGCCTTTGAGGGAAGAGTCTCCTTGTTCTTGAAGCTGCCCTTTTTGTGCAGAGAGCAGCTGGCTGTGTGGCGCTGGGATAAACTGCTGGCACAGAGATACAGAGAGGTCTGGTTGGTGCTGGTCGAATTCAGGGTCAGAGGGAAATTTTTCTTTTCTTTTCGAGAGACAATGTACCCTTCAGGGAATCTCCCTTATCAACAATATTGATGTGAATTGAATAGTAGATCAGCTTTAGGCCCAGCCCTGGGTCTTGTCAATACCAGAACATGAAATCATAGTTCAGATTCTGAGAACAAGTCACTGTCAGCTTCTTTCCGGTCTTTGTGATGAGGTGCCTCGGGGCCTGGGTCACTTGGGTTTCCACTGGGCCTGTGAACCCATGAGACAGAGTTAGAGACAGAGCTCCAGGGGCCCTGAAGTCTTAAGGAGAGGCTTTGAGCTGAGGCCTACTAGGATAAGGCCAAGAGTTGTCCATGTGGTTTGGGACTCACCTACTGCCAGGAGGCAAAGGACCACAGAGCCAAGGAGCCAAGGGCCCATGGCAGCATCTGGCAGGTGTCTGCCAGCTCTTGGGCTCTCGTTGCTTCTGTAATGACTCCACCTCTTCAGCCACTTGGGCTTCAGAGATGTTTTCAGGAGAGAAACCACTCCCCTTTCCTCAGAGGACTGAAGTATACAAAGGCAAAACAGGTTGGGAACATTTGTGATCAGTGCCATTTTCCTTCATCTCTCTGTCTTTCTACATGTGCCATCCCTGTTTTCTTTTTTAATATAGTTTTGTACAAATTGCCAAGTATTTATGTATTTTGGATATTTATGGCACAAATTGGTGTAACATATCTGATTATCACTCGGAAATGTGAGAACATGTAGCTTATGCTTTTATCAAAACTGCATTTTCATAATTTTGAAGTCATTTTTACTCTGCAGAAAAAAATTCCAAGTATATTTCTGGCTTTATCTAGTCATTGATATATATATTTTTAGTCACTACCTTTGAAAAGTATCTAAGGTGTGAAATCTCAGTCAGATTCACGTCATAAGTTATTTTACTCATCTGTATGCAGTTCAAAATCCTAGACACATGGCTTCTTTGCTCTTTAGCAGACTAGACTTGTGTGTGGCTATAAGAGCTAGCAGCTGCTGCCCTCAGGGATGGCATCCGGAGTGTCTTTCCTCTTTTCCTCTTCTCTCTCCTTTTCCAAAAGAGATAACCGGGCTCGGTGGCTCAGCCTGTAATCCTGCGCCTTTGGGAGGCTGAGGTGAGTGGATTGCCTGAGCCTGCGGGTTCGAGACCCACCTGGGCAGGTGAGACCTCATCTCTACAATAAATCAAAAAATCAGCCGGGCTTGGTAGCACATGCCTGTAATTCTGGCTACTTTGAAGGCTGAGGCGGAAGGATCACCGGATACCAGCAGGTCGCAGTTGCGGTGGCCGGGAGTGGACACCAGTCTGGGCAACAGAGTGAGACTCCAACTCAAAAAAAAACAACAAAAAACCCTTCCATTTGTACCAGCCAACTCAGCTTCTTGTCTGCTGTTGGCATACATTTGGCTTTTGCTGCTCAGGGAAGATTTCTGTCCTTGGATACTGTGCTATAGCCAGGCAGTATCTTCTCTGCTCTGACTCTTCATCATAGGAAAAACTGCTTGGGACCCGAAGGAGGGGTGGGTCAAGCTTCTCTTTTGAGCTCCTCCAGCAGCTGCACATATTGCTTCCTTGTTTGCCTACCTATGTTCTTCCTGAATTGAGATGACTTTCCTAGGGTTGCCAGAATGTCTTCCTCCTTGAGTGCTTTTGAGCTTTTCTTTTTAATTTTTTAAAAATTAAGGTATAGTGGATGAATTAAAAAATGCATGTATTTACAGTGCACAATGTGATGTTTTGATACATGTATGAAGGGGACCCAAAAAGATCCAGAATTATTTTTTGGAGGAGAGATCCCTTATAGTACAGCCTTGCTCTGCTAGGTAAGTGTTCTAGGAACCCATTGGCAACAGTGTGCCAGCTAGTGTTGTTGTGAGAGGCTGTGTCCAGCTTCAGTGGGTTTTTTCTTTTTGGAGATCCTTTCAACGCATTGCCCATTTCATGATGTGTGATTTATGAGTGTTCAGCAGATTTTGACCAAAAATGGTATTACCCTATGCCCACCCTTCCTATTCACTCCATCTCACCCTGAGCGACTTTTTTTTTGTTTGTTTGCTTTCTTGGATTAAAGGGAAACATTTTGCCAATGTGGAAGGGATGAAAAAAAAATGGTAGAAGCACTAAAAGGCATCAAAATTGATGAGTTTAATACTGCAGTGGAAAAAGCATCTTGATAGGTGTATTGCCTAAAACGGAGGGTACTTTGAAAGTGACTGAAGTTTAAACATGTAAGAATGTCCCCTATTGGGAATAACCCAGAGGAACTCAAATTATTCTACAAAGAAGATACCTGCACGTATGTTTGTTGCAGCTCTATTCACAATAGCAAAAACGGAACCAACCATGTTGCCCATCAAAGTTAGACTGGATAAAAAAAAATGTGGTACGTATACACAATGGAATATTATGCAGCCATAAAGAATGACAAATATATGAACTTTGCAGTAACCTGGATGGATTTGGAGTCGATCATACTCAGTGATTTATCACAGAAACAAAGAATAGAGTTCCATATGTTCTCACTCATAGAGGACCTTGAACAATTATAATGCTATAAGAAAGCAAGTGGCAGTAATGAGAAACTGTTGGTGGGGTGGGGGGGATTGACAGTTGAGGAAAACTGCTAGGGCAGAGAGGGGTATACTTCATTAACAGGGGTACCTGCATGATCAATGTTTGTATACCTAACCTTGAATTGTACCCCACATCTTTATAATAAAAATTAAAAAAAAAAAACAAGCATGTAAGAATGAATACACAACTTTTTTACAAAGTGGGTTAAAGATATTAATAGACACTTCTCAAAAGAAGATGTAAGAACAGCCAACAGATATATGGAAACATGTTCAGCCTCACTAGTCATCAAGGAGATGCAAATTAAAACTACACTGAGATACCACCTAACTCCAGTCAGAATGGCCATCATCAATAACTCAAAAAAATAACAGATGCTGGAGAGGATGTGGCAAAAAGCGAACACTTCTACATTGTTGGTGGGAGTGCAAACTAGTTTGGTCTCTGTGGAAATCAGTGTAGCGATTCCTAAAAGTTCTAAAAATTGACCTTCCATATGATCCTGCAATCCCCCTACTGGGAATATACCTGGAAGAACTCTGGTCACTTTATCAAAAAGATACTTAAACACGTATGTTTATCGCAGCATTGTTCACAATAGCAAGAACATGAAACCAACCATGCTGCTCATCAAAAGAGGACTGTATAAAAAAAATGTGATCCATATACACAATGGAATACTATGCAGTCATAAAGAAGAACAAAATCATAAACTTTGCAGCAACCTGGATGAAATTAGCATTTATAATACTGAGTGATCTCTCACAGAAACAAAGAGCTGAGTATCACATGTTCCTACTCATAAATGGACCCTGAACAACTACCGTATTACTATAAGAAGAGAATTGAAAGTGGCGGGAAACTGTGGGGAGGGGAGTGAGGGGGTGGGGAGGTAGGATTGACAGTAGTCGATAGCTGCCTGGGGAAGGGGAGGGCACACCTCATCGATAAGGGTACCTGCATGGTGAATATTTGTATACCTAGCCCTGAATTTTACCCCACAATTTTAAATAAAAAATAAAAATAAATAAATAAATAAATAATACACAATTTTTTATAAATAAATTCCTTCTTTTTTTGTGGGGGTCCCCCTCATACTTTTTAATTTTTGTTGTGATTTGTAGGAACCAGTGTTCCTGGGAGGGCGGGAGGGAAGGAGGCTATCCCACCCTTCCTAGTTGCTTCCAGTCACAACTAGAGTTTCACAGAGCAGCACTTTGGTGTTTTGCCAAATCAAGTTCACTTCCACAAGAAGTGGGCCCTTACCCCAGTTTTCAAAGCTACCCTCAAACCTCAAAGATAACTTTATTGCCCCCAGTCTTCTTCATGGAGAGAGATGCAGCTAACAGTTTCCGTTCCATGCAGGTGAGGGAACAGTGGTTGCTGTCATGACATTAACTCTGATCTAAGCAGAAATGCTATATCTTTTTACATTTTTGCACCATCCCTTTCTGGGAAAGCTTGTTCTGGGCAGCAGGCTTGGCTCTGCTTCAGTCATAGGTGTTTATAGTTGTCTTGGAAATTCCACCATATCCTATAAATATAGGTGTTCTTGAGGGAAAGAAAGCAGTTTTCATTTTGAAAAACCCAGTTCAAGTAAACAATTTCACATTACTTAGCAAACTTTGCCATCTCAAATTTTATCATTAGGAATCTTTCACAATTTAACTGCACCCAAAAAGTTAAGCTCACTATCTAGTGAATACTGGATTTCCCCATGTTCCACAATGGTCCAAACCTTGTGGAGGTAGATAATTACACTTCAAAGCAGTATTGGCTTCCCCAAGACCTTTTCAAATTAGATTAATCCAAGATTTAGGAAGTAGCTGATTCTACATTTCTCTCTCTCCACCAACGAATTCGCTCTTCTCAGATACATGGTTCTCCCCGCCCTGTTCTTTCTCATAATGAGGCATCTCTAGTCTCTTCTTGCCCTCTTCTACATCAATCAGGTTACTAAAATGATGCTGTTAAACTGAATTTCCATTATCCTTATGGCAGGAGCCAGTTTGACTTTCCCACCTTTCCTGCAACCTGTCCTCTGATATCATTTACCAACCACACTTAGGAGTTTGGGGAACTTACTCTATCTTCCTTCCCAAAGGTAGGACAGACTCCTATGTCCTAACAAAGGGACTGGGAAATGAACAGAACCCTCAAGCTGGCTGAGAGCTCTGAAACATCTCCCTTGATCTCTTGCATCATTTTTCTTTTTTTTTGAGTTGGGGTCTCACTCTGTTGCCCAGACTGGAGTGCAGTGGCTGCTCCCGGTCACCGCAGCCTCGACCTGCTGAGCTCCGGCGATCCTTCTGCCTCAGCCTTCCAAGGAGCTGGAACTACAGGCGTGCGCTACCACGCCCGGCTAATTTTGTGATTTATTGTAGAGATGAGGTCTCGCCAAGTTGCCCAGGCGGGTCTTGAACCCACGGTCTCAGGCAATCCACTCACCTCAGCCTCCCAAGGCGCGGGATTACAGGCTGAGCCACTGAGCCCGGCTGATCTCTTGCATCTTAATAGAATGCATTTCCTTCTATGCTGTGCCACCCCTTCCTCTCTTTCCCTGCACTTCTTTGGTGTTCACTCTCTTTCTCATCTGATTTTCACACATAGCTCAGTAAATCTGCATCTCTCACTGGGGCAACAGTATCCTGTTAAAAGAAATAATGCCTGCCTCTATCCAGATGAATGATTTCTTTAAAACCCCCTGTGAGAGAACACATTCATTAACCCTTTAAATATGCAGCAATATGTGATTTTGAGCCCAGGGATAGACTGTGGCATCCTCACCATCTTCAAAACCTAGATTACTTATGTTCGAGGCATTTCAGTTTTGAGGATCTTGCTC